ATTCCATAGCAGTAAACACATAGGTTTATTTCCTCTCAGTCAACTGCAAAAGCTTTTTTTTCCTACCATAAAAAGAACATGAACCTTAGAGCAGGCAAAGATCTTAGAAAGGTTTCCTTAAACATGTAAAAACAGAACTCAGAAAGGTGAAACAATTTGCCCAAGGTCACATAGCTGAAGGAGCCCAGAGCTCAAGTACCCTTCCACCCTGTCCAACCCTCCTTCCTCAGCACCCCTCTGCAAGAGCTGTGCTCTCTCCTCCCATATAGATTTTGGAGTTATAATTTCTTCTATACTGGTACCACAAAAAAAAAAAAAAGAAAGAAATTCTATTTCAATAAAGGAAAGTTATTGATATAAATTCTTCAAGACTGTGATGTTGTAGGAAGGAGACCTAATGTGAATGCTCATCTGCGTTATCACAGACAACTTTTCAAGTCAGCACCTGCAAATTTACCATACGTTTAACCAATCAGAGCCCTCAGAGCATGGATGCACCAAGTACATACAAACCCTGTTGGGCAGGTAGTTCACCTCCATCTCTTGCTGTAAGAGCAACTTTTACTAGTAACATGGCATTGTTCAAAGAGCATGAAATTTTATGTCAACAGATCTGTATTCTGGAACCTACTCGGCTACCTACTAGTCTTTCCCTTTATAAAAATGGCTCTAATATCTGCTGTGCCCACCTCAGCAAGCTGTTGTAACTAAAAGGGTTCAAAAAACTGTGAGGTGCTATTCAACATAAGGTATTACACAACTATGCTCTTAAGAGTTTTGATACAGAGGGACAACCAGATGTTCCTACGGCATGAGACATTTATTTACAAATGGGAAAGGGGAGCCAAGGCCTCGTGTTGGCATACTGACCATAGGGACTAACAGGAAATGCTCCACGTGTGGGGAGGTTTACAGCACCACTTGACCCAATCTCCTGGAAAACTACTATTTGGTAAAAAGTCATCCAATCACCTCAACTGTGTCACTGACCCAAGGGCTCATCTCAGCAGTAACTACCAGCCTGTCCTCTCTCAGCTCTAGCGATGTCAGGGATAATGAAGGGATTATATTCCAGCAAAGTCATCACCAGAAATTTTGTTGCTGTTAATCCTCATCCGAAGATATTTTTCCATTGATTTTTAGACACAGTGGACAGGAGAGAGAAACATCTACGTGAGAGAGACACATCGATTGGGTTGCCTCCTGCACGACCCTGACCGGGGCCAGGGATTGAACCTGCAACCCAGGTACGTGACCGGAAATTGAACCTGAGACCCTTTGGTCCATGGCCATCACCCTAACCGCTGAGCCAAACTGGCCAGGGCACCACAAGAAATTTTCATGTGCCACTTAAAAACGGAGCCCTGGCCCTGGTCAGTTTGGCTCAGCAGTTAGAGACTCAGCCCACGGATCAATGAGTCGCGGGTTCAATTCTGGTCAAGGGCACATACCTCGGTTGCAGTTCATCCCCTGCCCTAATCTGGTCCTGTGGGAGGCAACCAGTCGATGTGGCTCTATCATGTCTATCACATTTCTCTCTGTCTCTTTTTCCCTCCCTCTCTCCCTCCCACTCTATCTGATGATCAATAGAGAAGTACCCTCGGGTGAGGAATTAAAAAAACAAAAAAACCGGAGCCCTGCCCCAGCTGAGGGGACCAGCTGGTTGGAGCATCGTCCCATGCACCAAAGGGGTTGTAGGTTCGATCCCCAGTCAGGATGCATGTGAGAGGCAATTGATCAATGTTTCTCTCTCACATCAGTGTTTCTCTCTCTCTAAAATCAAGAAACATATTCTCGGGTGAGGATTAAGAAGAAGAAGAACAACAACAACGAAGCCCTACAACAACAACGAAGCTCTAAAGGAAACCTTACAGTTCATCTGCCTGGTTCCTAAATCTGACTTGTTATCAGAATCACTAGAGGGCTTTTTCAAATCAAACTCTTGGGCCCTGGCTAGTCTGGCTTAGTGATTGGATCATTGGCCCTTGGACCAATGAGTCACGGGTTCAATTCTGGCCAAGGGCACGTACCTTGGTTGTGGTTCAGTTCCTGGCCCTGGTCCGAGTTGTGTGGGAAGCAAGCAGTCAACGTGTTCCTCTTATGTTGATGTTTCTCTTTCTCTCCTTTTCTCTCCCTTTCTCTCTCTCCCACTCTAACTGAAGATAAATGGAAAAGTATTCTCAGGTGAGGATTTAAAAACAAACAAACCAAAAAATGACCTGGCTGGTGTTTCCATTAATGTCATGGAAAATAAACAGAGTATAGCCTGGTCAATGGATTGAGCATCGTCCCATGGGCTGAGAGGTCCAGGTTCAATTCTCGGTCAGGGTACATGCTTGGGTTGCGGGCTCGATCCCCAGTAGGGGGTGTGCAGGAGGCAGCCAATTGATGTTTCTCTCTCACATCAATGTTTCGCTCTCTCTCCCTTCCTCTCTCTCTCTAAAAAAATCAATAAAACATGTAAAAAAATAATAGTAATAATAATAAATAAAATAAAAACAAACTCTCAGGATGAGTCCAAAGAATCCACAATGTTTAAAGTTCCCCAAGAATTCTAATGATCAGCCAGGTGGTGTACTCGTTCATTTTCCATATGAGATGATAGTGATTAGGTGGGGTCAGGGGTGGAACTAAGATACAGCATTCAGCTGCCAGTTTCGAACTATCCCTTTCACAACTTGCTGCCTGTCTTGAAATCTTACAATGTCTACTCTGAGTCCAGATCATTTCCCCTTCATAAGGTGAACTGTTGCAAATCTATTTTAAAATTCAGAAGCAGCCCAGCCAGTGTGGCTCAGTAAATGAGCGTTAACCCATGCACCAAGAGGTCGCCGGTTCGATTCCCGGTCAGGGCACATGCCCAGATACTGGGCCTGATCCCCAGTGTGGGGTATGCAGGAGGGAGCCAATAGATGTTCTCTCTCTTCCTCTCTGTCCCTCTCTGTCCCTCTCTCTCTTCCCCCCTCTCCTTTTCTCTCTCATATCAATAAAAAAAAATTTTTTTTTTTTTAAATTCAGGAGCAGTCCTGTGACCATTTTAGTCAACCAAAAGAATGGTATCTACCTTAAGCCCAGTTCTTTACTAACAGGGGCTTCAGAGCTCATGCTCCACTAGGCCACTCCACTCCAGTATCCTGTCACTGTCCAGGCCCTAGAACTTATGAGCTAATCAACCCTGTCCTCATTACAAACAATCATCTTTCAGCTGATTCATATATGGCAGTAATCCCTATTATACAAACGGTGGATGCTAAAAAAAAAAAAAAAAAAAACAACTACTGACATTGGTCTCTTATGATTTAGGAACTAGCAAACAAATGTCTTCCAAATGTAGCTTCTCTTGGGATACCTTTGAAATGAGCGGGGATTTCCTGAAAGCAGGAAAGCTCCTCACAGGGTGAGTCAGCCTGACAAATGCCTAGGGTCAGAGAGAAGACAGTTTGGGTTTAACACTTGACTACTGTCTTAAGATGTCTTACAAATACTTTACTGGTCTAAAGGAAAAGAATATGCTTACAGAGGAAACCATTAATGTCATGGAAAATAAACAGAGTATAGCATACTTTGAAAGTGTGCCTCACATGCAATGCAATTACCTTTCACCAAAGAATTTTATGGCATAATACCAGAAAATCTTTCTCTTTTCTTGGTCTGAGGTAGATTATTATAAAGTTCAAGGCATATGAACAGGCCAAAGGGAAGACACATGAGCACACAGACAGATTACTCTTAGGATAACAGCCACATGTAGCTCTGCATGGTCAGTTGACCAAGTCACAGTTTTACAGGACTGTTGGGAATCAAATGAAATTCTTATACTGGATTCTGTTGGAGGAAGAAGGTTGAAACCAAAAGTCAAAACAGAATTTTGGGAGGAAGCCTATAATGTGTATCATGGAATGCCAACAATTCCTAGACAAACTACATTAGAGTTGGAAGGAATCATAGTCATGTTCCAATCCAACCCACTGGTTTTTGTTTTTAATCCTCACATACTGAGAGGGGGTAAGGAGAGAGAAACATTTGTCGGCTGCCTTCTGCACCTGCCCCAACCAGGGATTGAACCCGCAACACAGGTATGTGCCCTGACTGGGAATTGAACTGGTAACCTTTGGGTGCACAGGATGACACTCAACAAACTGAGCCACTCAGGCTGGGTGAACCCAGTTTTATAGTTAAAGGCACAGGGGACCAGATGGAAAGTGTTATGTCCTATTTCATACTACTGAGGAGCATGCTGGGATCGACCTTCAGGAGCCAGACGCCTGGCCACTGGACTCAGCTGAGCTGGATTACCAATATAGAGTGGCTCATGAGGAAATCCATGCATCATTCCAAATACTGCAGTGTCTTTACTTTCACCCCCTCTTCTATCCAGGCTACCAAGATCTACTGATATTTTATATTTTTCATTTGTTAAATTATGACTGCAAAGAAGGCAATTTTCAAATTTACACATTTATATCCAATTTCAATATTTACTGAATGTCTGCTCTGAGCCAGGTATCATCCTGGGCTACGGGAAAGCACAAATAAATAAGACAGTTCATTATGCATCACACATGGTCCAACAACATTGAAGCCTGCCCCCATCATATGGCCCTATTGTGGAGGGAGTATTCTGAGCAATAATGATCAAAATTTTTTATTATTTCAGTCTGGTTCCTGGTGAGAACTTATCCACATCTCCAAAATCCAACCGTTTCAGCTCATCCTCAGACTGAGAAGAGCATGAATGGCTAAGATGCCAGACCCAATTTAAGGCATGAACTCTGAGGGTTTCAACAGCAGGAAATTTCTACTCAGAGCCCTTGTGGGTCTGGAGACAGAAAGGAAGCCTGGTATGACGCTGAAGATATAACTTCTGAATCTGGCCAAAGGCCCATTGGAGACATGAGCTCCAAGAAAGCACATTTCACTTTTTCAAATATTTTAATTTTGAGGCAGTGACAGGCAGTTGTGCTAGATGAGCAATCAAGGTGGTTCCATCTTATTCCTACCTCCCAGTGACCAGCCAGTTTGGGTGGAATCTCCAATCCCAGCTTCTCCAGCTCTTGCTCCCTATACTTCTCATACTGCCGGTAACCTGCATACCCGCCGCCAGTCACAAACAGAAAGGGCAGGGGGCGCAACAGGAACAAGGTTCGAGCAGGGGCAGTGTGGACTTTTCTGGCATCTGGAACAACAACAATAAAAAACAACAACAGAAAAATGTTGAGCCTGGGAAAAGGGACAAGAATGAGTTATTTCAACACAGCACCAACAGGAGGGCCAGAAAAAGTCAATGCATGTTATAAGCCCCCAGTAATGGTGAGTGGACCCTGAAGGGATCTAACAGGAAAGTGCAACCCTGAGTCACTACTGAGACCCTTCTGTCTCCAGATTTATCAATTACCAAGGGACAAGCATCTTTCCTGTGAAACTATAATGCATCTCAATTATCACCAGAGTCACAGAATTTAAGACAACATTGAATAACAAAGAAGCCAAGAAACTAATCAAGGTTACCCAGCTGGTCACCAACAGATCCAGGACTGGGAACCAGGTACCATTTCTCAACCAGGGCTCTTTGATCTTACTTTAACAATGCAGGTCCAATTCTGATTGGACACTACTATTCTCATATGCAAAATCTCATAAGCTTTTACAGTTCAACAATAAAAAAGACAATCCAACTTAGAATGTACAAAGGATTTGAAGAGACATACCTTCAAAGAAGATATATGAATAGCCAATAAGCACATAAAAAGATGCCCAACATCTGTTATGGGTTGAATTGTGTCCTCACCAAAATTCATATATTGAAACCCTGGCCCCCAGTAACTCAGAATATGACCTTACTTGGATATAAGGTCTCCACAGAGGCAATCAAGTTAAAATAAAGTCATCATGGTGAGCCCTAATGACTGGTGTACTTATGAAAAGGGGACATTTGGACACAGACATGCACACAGGGAGAATGCCATGTGAAGGTGAAGGCAGAGATTGGGGTGATGCTTCTCTATAAGCCAAAAAAGCCAAAGACTGCCAGCAAACTATCAGACACTAGACCAGTGGCATGGAACAGATTTTCCCTCACAGCCCTCACAAGGAAGCAACCCTGTGACACCGTCACCTTGGATCTCTAGTCTCCAGAACTGTGACAGAATAAATTTTTATTGTTTAAGCTACTTGGTGTGTGATACTTTGTTACGGCAGCCCTAGAAAATCAATACATCACTAGTAATCAGAAAAATGCAACTCAAAACCACATACCACTTCACGCCCACTAGGATGGTTAAACCAAAAAGATAAGTGTTGCCCAGCTGGTGTAGCTCAGTTGGTTGGGCACTGCCTCGTGCACCAAAAGGTTGCCAGTTCCATTCTTGGTCAGGGTATATGCCCAGGTTGCAGGCTTGATTCCCAGTAGGGGCCATGCAGGAGGCAGGAGATCAGTGTTTCTCTGTCATCAATGTTTCTATCTCTCTCCCCCTCTCCTTTCTTCTCTCTCTAAAATAATCAATGAAAACATACTTTTTAAAAACAAAGATAATGTTGGCAAGGACTGGAGAAATCTGAACACTCATATACTGCTGGTGGGATTGTGAAATGAAGCAACTACTTAGAAAACAGGTTTGTCAGTCCCTCAAAATGTTAAACATAAAACTACCCTAGAACCCAGCAATTCTGCTCTTATGTATATACCTAAAAGAAGTGAAATATACACCTAGGCCAAAACTTGTACAAGAATGTTCAATAACAGAAGCATTATTGATAAATGGAAAAAATGGAAACACTTCAAATGCCACTGAGACTGGAAAACAAAATTTGGTATGTCTGCCCTGGCCGGGTTAGAGCGCCGGCTATTGGACCAAACAGTCATGGGCTTGATTCAGGTCAAAGGCATGTACCTCCACTGTGGTTCGTCCCCGGCCCTGGTCAGGGTTGTGCAGGAGGCAACCAATCAATGTGTTTCTCTTATGTTGATGTTTCTCTCTCTCTCTCCCTCCCCACCCTTCCTCTCTCCCACTCTATCTAAAGATAAATGGAGCCCTGGCCGGTTTGGCTCAGCAGTTAGAGTGTCGGCCTGTGGACTGGAGAGTCCTGGGTTCAGTTCCTGCTAAGGGCACATACCTCGGTTGCAATTTGCCCCTGCGTGTTGGTGGCAACCACTTGATGTGTCTCTCATGTTGATGTTTCTCTCTCTCTCCCTCCTGCTCTATCTAAAGATAAATGCAAAAAAAAAAAAAAAGTTCCTCAGGTGAGGATTAAAAAAAAAAAAGATAAATGGAACAATATCTTCAGGTGAGGATTTTTTTTCTTTATTGATTTTAGAGAGAGAGGGAGAGGGGGAGAGAGACAGAAACATTGATCAGAGAGAACATTGATTGGCCACCTCCTGCATGCCCCGCATTGGGGATCAGGCCCACAACCTGACCAGGAATTAAACTGGCGACCTCTTGGTGCATGGGTTGACACTCAACCACTGAGCCACACTAGCCAGGCTCGGGTGAGGATTTAAAGAAATGCAAAAAACAAATGAACAAACAAAAACACAAAAAAACAGCTTTTGGTGTGATGAATAAAAAGGGTATTTAGATAATAAAAACAATACTTTTTTTTTTATCCTCACCCAAGGACATTTTTCCATTTTTTGTTCAGATCGAGTGGAAGGAAGAGAGAGAGAGAGAGAGAGAGAAACATCGACATGAAAGGGACACATTGAGTGGCTGCCTCCTGCATGCACAACCCAACCAGGGCTGGGAACAAACTGCAACCGAGGTACGTGCCCTTAGCGGGAACCGAACCCGGGTCTCTCTGGATCGCAGGCCAATGCTCTAACCGCTGAGCCAAACCAGCCAGGACGATAATACACATTTTTGAAAGAGTTCAAATAGCTGCTTACAAGATCAAAAAAGTTCGTAATCCACGGTGTGGGTGTGGAGAACTAATGTATTCATAAGCACTTCCTGCTTGTATGAGGGTAAACTGGGATAACCCTCTTGAAGAGCAATTTGACATAAATACCAAGTTGTAAAACTTCTGATTCAGCAAATCTACCTTTATAAATATACCCTAAAAATGCACAAAAATATGTTACTACAGAATCACTGACAGCAGAAAAACACTAGAAACAAATGCCAACACTAAATGGTACAGTCATACAACAGACTACTAGGCAGCCAGTAAAAACAATGAGATAATAATAGCTACTGCTTCTTTAGTGATGACTGCATGCCAGGCACTATAAGCACTTCACAGGTACAATTTCATTTAATTCTAACAACAACTCAATGGAATCAGTGCTATTTTTAACCCAATTAACTGATGAGCAAACCAAAGCACAGAGAGGCCGACACCACCTCTAACTGCTACTTACTTGTAGAAAAGGCTCTGAGAGGCAGCTTCCTTACAGGTTGTAGAAAATGGCTTAGGGCAGTGTTTTCACAGTGATGGAGGCTACAATCAAGCAAAAATGAATCATTACACATTTTTCTTAAAATTAAAAAGAAATTAATAGATCAAATGGCAAAATTGGAATACAGCCTATAGATTCAACAATAGTATTGTATCAGCATTAATCTCCTGGTTTCGACCACTGTACTGTGGTTATGTGAGAAAATGTCCTTACAGGAAAAAGGCTAAAATATTTAAAGGTAAAGGGGCATCAGGTCTGTAATTTACTCTTAAGTGTTTCAGAAAAAAAGAAAAATACATACATACACAGAGAGAGAGAGAAGGAATGAAAAGAATAAAGAAAAGTTAGTCAACATATTGGGAATCTGGCTAAAGGATAGTTGGGAATTCTATATATTATTTTTCTAATTTTTCTTTAAGTCTGAAACTATTTTACAATAAAAAATTACTTTTTCTTTCCGTGGCCAGTTTGGCTCAGTGGTAGGCCATTGGCCCATGGACCAAAGAGTCACGGGTTCAATTCCAGTTAAGGGCACAACTTTGGTTGCGGATTGGTCCCTGGTATTGGTCCAGGTTGTGCGAGAGGCAACCAATTCATGTGTCCCTCTCACATCGATGTTTCTCTCTCTCTCCCACTCTATCTGAAGGTAAAATGGAGAAAAAAGTATGCTTGGGTGAGGATTAAAAAAAAAAATTACTTTTTCTTAATTAAGCACAAGATCATAATAGGCAGTAAAGCCAGCACTCTTACACAAAGCCACATTTCTGCACCACAAAAGAAAAGCTGTACATAGCCTTGTAAACACCTAACCCCTACTCGTGAAAGACTCTAATATTGCAGGTGGCTGAAATTTTACATTTTAAATGGCTTTCCTAGAAAAAAGGTCACAAACAAACCATGTTGAACTATTCTAATCTATTTCAAGTCTGAAAGGCTCAACTGGTTTAGAATTTTTGAATTATCTCCCAGCTGGTGTGGCTCAGTGGTTGAGCACTGACCCATGCATCAAGAGGTCACCGGTGCGATTCCCAGTCAGGGCATGTGCCCAGGTTGTGGGCCAGACCCCCAGTAGGGAGCATGCAGGAGGCAGTCAATCAGTGTTCTCTCTCGTCGATGTTTCTATCTCTCTTTCCCTCTCCCTTCCCTTTCTCTCTAAAAGTAAAGGGGGAAAAAAAGAATTCTTGAATTATCTTTTGTGGCAACTTTGCCACAAAAGCTACTTTGACAAAGTGAATAGGTTTCAACTGTTCTGAGAAAAAAATTACCAATTATTTTCATAGCCTTTAAGCTCTAAGAAAATATATATTTTTTTAATTAAAAAAAATTTGTTTTTCTTTATTGATTTTAGAGAGCGAGAGGAAGGCAGAGATAGATAGAAACATTGATGAGAGCATTCTGGTCGGTTTTGCTCAGCGGTTAGAGCGTCGACCCGCAGTCCAGGGAGACCCAGTTTGGTACCTCGGTTGCAGTTTGTCCCAGCCTGGGTTGGGGTTGTGTGGGTGGCAGCCACTCGATGTGTCTGTCTCTCTCACGTCACTGTTTCTCTTTCTCTCTCTCTCTCTCTCTTCCTCCCTCTCTGAAAATAAATGCAAAAATGTCCTCAGGTGAGAATAAAAAAAGAAACATTGATGAGAGAGAACATCAACTGGCCTACTCTTACATGCCCCTCACTGGAGATTGGGCTCACAACCTGGGCATGTGCCCTGAAGGGGAATTGAACCAGAAACCTCTTGGTGCATGGGTCGACGCTCAACTGCTGAGCCACACCGGCCAACCTAAGAAAATATTTCCGATTTAGTTTCTCTTCTGTTTCACCTTCGCTCAAGGAAACTGGACATATTCCCAGGGGCAATGAGTGACTATGCCAGCAAATAGAACATTAATGAATTTTTAGGTAACAGTTGGATCTCCCCTTAATTAAAGAGCAAACGTCTCACCTTTAATTCAGACAGCAGTTCCATTTCCCCAAATACTGACCTGAAATCTAAAGCAAAGGAACTATATCTTTGTCAGTAAAGGTTTCTTTTTCCCTTGGAGTCCTTTATGATAGCTGTAATAACTTATTTTAAATGTCAAATTTGCTATTTTTGTGGAAAATAAAACTACATATATGATTTTCACACAATAATATTTATTTGCATGGACATTTAGTAGTTATATCTTACACAGATATCCTGTAAACATTATCAGATTTAGGCACCCTCATTTTTTCACATGAAAGTTCCTTAACTTAAAAACACCTTTATGGCCCAGCTGGTGTGCCTCAGTGGACTGAGCGTTGTCCCATGGACTGAGAGGTCCCAGTTTGATTCCTGGTCAGGGCCCATACCCAAGTTTCAGGCTCAACACCCGTAGGGGGCGTGCAGGAGGCAGCCGATCCATATTACTCTTTCACATCAATGTTTCTCTCTCTCCCTAAAAAAAAATCAATGAAAACATTAAAAACGAACAAACACCCTTATAGGCCCTAGTCAAGTTGCTCAGTTGGTTAGAGCATCAACCCAATATGCCAAGGTTTTGGGTTCAATTCCCGGTCAGGGCACATATAAGAATCAACCAATGAATGCATAAATACATGGAACAAATAAATGTTTCTCTCCCCCCCACCAAATCAATAAAAAAAAACAACAAAAACACCCTTACAGCACAGAGCAAATATGGCTAATGTGATGAATCTGACCCTCCTATGGGCAAATAAATTTGTATGGAGAAAAAGCATGGGACCACGACAACCACCAGCCCTAAGGCCAGAAAGATGTACAGCCATGAACAAAGAAGGGCCTGTTTCAATATATGAACGCTCTTTCAGCACTGAACAATGCTCATCTCTCAGACTCGATACTCTGACCATAAAAGCTAAAAGCCTAAAACCCTACTTTCCAAAAAGAATTAGAACAAGAAGTGTAAAAACTGACTAAAGGGTACATTGTTGTGTTTTCTATATTGCTGTATATTTGTTCTAGAATTAATGCTGAACTCCCTAACTAAAAAAAGAATGTCTGCAGACTACTGAGAAAGGCTTTGGGGGTGGGGGGGTGGGGGACGCTGAGAAGATACAAATGGGAGATAATCGGTTATCCACTGTAACCGGTCAGGGATCCTGATTTACCTCCTACCTCTCTGCTCTCTCCCTAACTTTAAACTGGTGCCATGCCAGCGTCCAGACATCTTCCCTGTCTATGCTCTCTCCCTAGAGATACTCATCCCGTCCCACCTTTAAACAGCTAGATACTAATGATTCCTACACTGCTGCTTCAGAGACCTCCAGCTCCATGTTTCCAGCTGGCTACCCAACATTTCCACTTTGAATCATCCTAAACTGAGTTTAGATGAATCCCTGACCCTCCCTAACTCTTCTTCAACCTATTCTTCCCCCGTAGATGTTCATCTGTGGCAGACACTAGCCAGATGTCTACCAAATCCACTTCTTCTTCCTGGGTACCCAACAGACTGTATTTCCCAGCCTCTTTTGCAGTGGGGTTTGACCATAGGACTGAGTTCTCACCAATGTGAGGACCACTGAGGCTTCCCACTGAGGTATCTACCTCTAGGCTTTCCCCTTTCAGCCTACTTGATGTCTGTCACATAAACATGCAGACGTTGGGAAGCCATGAGTTCAGGACTCGGGTCTTTGAATCACTGCTGCTCCGCCTATCAGGAGCACCCACTGGGACTTTACAAGATTGAGACGTAAATTTTTATTGTGTTAAGTCACTGAGATGCTGGCTATTACAGTAGCACTACTATAATTAGTACACTATCTCAGAAAAAGGCACCTCCATTCACCTAGCTACACAGGTCAAAACCCTAGGACTCATTCTTTTTTTTTTTATCCTCACCCGAGGACATTTTCCCATTTTTTGTACAGATAGAGTGGGAGGGAGAGAGAAGAAGAGACAGAGAGAGAGAAACATCGATGTGAAAGGGACACATCAAGTGGCTGCCACCGCACGACCAACCAAGGCCGGGGACAAACTGCAACCGAAGTACGTGCCCTTAGCGGAAACCGAACCCGGGTCTCTCCGGACCGCAGGCCGATGCTCTAACCGCTGAGCCAAACCGGCCAGGGCCTAGGACTCATTCTTAAGTCCTTTCTCAACGTCCACATTCAATCCACTGACAAGGAGTAAAGACTGTACTTTTGCCCTGGCCAGTTTGGCTCAGCGGTTAGAGCCTGCGGTCCGGGGAGACCCGGGTTCAGTTCCCGCTAAGGGCAAATACCTCGGTTGCAGTTTGTCCCCGGCCCTGGTTGGGTCATGTGGGTGGCGACCACTCGATGTGTCCCTTTTACGTCGATGTTTCGCTCTCTCTCTCCCTCCCACTCTATCTGAACAAAATATCGAAAAATGTCCTCGGGTGAGGATAAAAAAAAAAAAAGACTGTACTTTTATTTGTCTTTAATTTTTTTTATTTTATTGATTTTTAGAGAGAGAGAGGAAGAGAGGGAGAGCTAGAAACATCAATGAGAGAGAACATCTATTGGCCGCCTCCTGCATGCCCCCCCACTGGGGATCAGGCCCACAACCTGGGCATGTGCCCTGACTGGGAATCGAAACAGTGATACTCAACCACTGAGCTAAACCAGCCAGGCTAAAGACTATACTTTCAAAATATATATCCTCATCTGCCTATTTCTCATCACTGCCATTTTAGGCATACCTCAGAGATATTGTGAGCTTGGTTTCAGACCACTGCAATAAAACAAGTATCACAATAATGCAAGTCGTAATCTTTCTGGGAGAGTCTTGCTTTCAATTTGTAAAAAATGCAACATCTGTGAAGTGCGATAAAATGAGGTATGCCTATAATCCAACCCTAACCCAAGCCACCTGAGTTCTTACCCATGCCTGCAATAGCCTGTTCTCCCTGCTTCTACTCTTGGCCTTCCAAATCCTATTCACCACAAAACAGCCAGAATGATCTTTTCAAAACAGAAAATAGGACCAGACTCTATGTAATTGGTCCTTGCTGAATTCTCAGATCTCCTGCTGTTTTCTCTCTCCTCTTCCTCACTCAGTCCTCTTGGAACTCCTTCACACCT